CTGTCAGGAAAAAGAACAAAAAAAAAAAAAAAAAAAAAAAAAAATCCATATTGTGTTTACACTGGATTTCAGTTTCACCTGGCAATTGTTAATTAATTAATAGCAAGTAAGAAAGTAAGAAGACAATACACTGTTGATATTTTACACTCATCTGAGCAACACCTCCACTAGCAATCAGTAAATGATACACTTTATATGTATTTTAGGGAATATGGCACCTGTGAAATAAAAAATAAAATAACAGATTCACTGGATGAGAAGCTAAAAGTCTCCACTGAACCACATTGCCGCTAACAGCATACGTATCAATGGGTAAAGCAAAACTATTTGCCTGCTAAAATAAAATACAGCAAACACCTCTGGGAAGTAAAAGTGCAATTCTGCCAGAAAAGTCCTGGCATTTTTGCCAGGACTACAGCTAAGATTGGTAGCAAATGCCAAACGCAGTGGTGTTCAAACTAATGTGAGTCTAGTCTATGCCTAGACTTAAGCCCAGCAAGGTGCTTCATCACAGGTCAATGAAAGCTAACACAGAAAGGCTGTTTCTTAACTAATAACATGGTCCAAACACGTACTGTGACATGGAAGTGGGTCGTCTTGCCCAGCTAACCTTGCCTGATTTCTATAATAACCAACTGAAAAAATTAATCACAAATCATAAAAAAACCTCAACCCACACATAAGAGAAAAGGATTGAGTTGTACATCTATTCAAAGGATAAAAGCAACCACGCCCATGTTTTCTCACAGGTGTGAGTAATGAGCACTAAGATGGGGAAACTGAGGCAGCACTGCTCATGACCTTCCTGAGGTACCACAGACAATAACCGTTGCCATGGGCTCTTCTATCTGATGTCCATGCTGCAGAAAACCCTTCCCAACAGCAGGATGCATTTGCACAGGTACATTGAGGCCACTGAACTCATGTTTGTAATATATTACATTTTTCGTTTCCTTTTAATTTCCAAATGTTTACGCACTCTAGCCTGTTTATTGAACTGTTTACTAATGCCAACACTTGCTCCACTTTATCAACCTCCTCCGCAGTTCTTCAGAGTTTTACTCCATCACACCTTGTTTCAGGGCTGTGAACAAACCGCTCCCTGGCCTCTTTGTTAAAGCAAATAGTCCTAAACACCAGAATCATCCACTTCACCCTGCAATGGAGCACCTTTAAAGGCAAACAGACGCTTTTTCTTCAAAATCACTACCAAAATACGAACACGCACATACTGTGAGAATTTTACTGCAGTTGTACTAATTCCTTTGAGGATTTTTCTTCAAACCCCTAAATCTCCTTCCCTAAGTCAGTACACTGAGTAACTATTCCATGTAATATGCATTCTTTGATTTGGCTTACTGTCCCTCGGCGTATTGTTTTCATGTTTATCTACACTAAGCTGCATTTTCAAGCCACTGACCGAATCACCTACGAGATCTACCTTTTTTCCACTACTCGCCGTCATTCACTGGAGCTGCTCTGTAGATAAAACCAGAAGAAGTTCAACCACATTCAACAGCCTCATCCAAATCCATTGCTTATGTTACAAACAAGACAGGTGCCCAAACGAGCCCAAGTTAAACCATTCCCATCTCAGCGACTTAGCCACCCCGATTCTCAGAGCATAAAAGCACAAATTCGGTGTGGCTGAATTCCATACATATATGGTCTTAACAGTTAAGCCAGTGTTTTGACAGTCTAAGCTGAATTATAGACCTAAAACTGGCTGGTGGTAGCTCCTCTGAAGTACGGACACATCCCCGTGAGGATATACTTTTATATATTTACACATGGGAAAGCTGAAGGAGAAATAGGTTAAGGGATTTGCCCTGAACCACCACGTCTCTGGCTGAATTGAGAGGACTGACTTACCAAATCAAATTTAACTAACAGATTTTGAAAAATCATTGCTGTTAAGAAGAATTGCTTGACATGTGAGAGGTCAGACTACCTAAGCAGGCTCTATCCCCCTGCCTGTCTTTAATCTCCTGGCCAATCATTCACTCAGTGCACTATTTCTATTTCTGAAGAGTTTTTCTTCTTAGTTTTCAGCCTTTATAAATCTGATCCGTCATTGCAGAATTTCTAATAATATTAGATAAAACTTCACTGATCTCTCTCTGGAATAAACTATTTAATATCCTTTATTTAAGACATGTGTGTGCAATCAATTCTGTGGTATTTACTTGTAGTACACACAGAGTATTCATCATCCTGACAATTTTTAAAAGTTTTAGAACACCATTTCACTTAGCAGTTTAAAAAAAAAAAAAAAAAGAAGAAAGATTTATTTGATGGTTAACTTTGGAACAAGTTATCTGCATTAACTTCCATTGTTTTGGCATAAAGTAGTTCTGTATATTTTACTAACAACAGTGGAGACATGATAAAGGATGTAGGCAGAGAGCCATAAACAGCTCTCACTGCAACCGACAGCGTTCGTGTAAAAGCATTAATTTTTTGGACTTTGATTGGAAGACGTCTCTGTGCTCAGCCACGTGTATTCTGCTAAATACAGCCAAGTATAAAACCTGAATTGTACCTGAATATAAGAATTTTAACTGCGGAAAGGCCATTGTAAATCATACGTAGTATAAACTTGTCCACACGATTGGAATGATATAATGGATATTGTAGTCCCTAACCACTAGCTAATGTTCTTTATGACACTTAAATAAATGACCTGAAAATAAACTAATAACAACATGAAATCTTCTAAACCTGTTCATGTGCATTTCCCAAAAGCATGCTGGAGAAAGACAATGTCTAGTTAGCACATTTTTTGTGTTTACAGAACATTTTTGCTCCAGCTATTCTATTTTTCCTCTCCCAGACTCACATTAATTCTTCTTTTCTGTCACCTTCTAGACAGAGTCATCTCTCCATCCAGTACCTGCCCAGATCTTGGTCATTTATAAACATCAACAGCTTGCAGGACTTCTACATCACCATCTAGAAGTCTATAACCTGGAGAAAAAACAAGTGTTCCAGTGTTTTATTTGGAGCCAGTATCTACTCCCACAAAGATCATCAGAAATTTTTCATACCCTGTCTAAAGTTCAGAAGATACGTTCTCAGAGAGGCTGGTTATGGAAGAGCAGAGATGGGGCAGGAGCAGACATAGGCTTAAAAGATTTGAAATAAAGGAAGAAATTCTTTATGTTGAAGGTGGTGAAACACTAGCACAGGTTGCCCACAGAGGTGGTAGATGCCCCCTCCCTGGAAGGGTTCAAGGTCAGGTTGGATGGGTCTTTGGGCAACCTGATCTAGTTGAAGATGTGGTTGGACGAGGTGACCTTTAGAGGTCCCACCCAACCCAAACCATTCTGTGATTCTACGATTCTAAAAAACAAGCTAGAGACCTACTGCAGCAGATACGTAGGATTTAGTTATCAAGGAGGATGCACCATTTTTCTCAACCGTAGTTACAACACACACCATTCACATAAGAAAAATGCCACCGCGTTCTATTTTTACTATGGGAGAAGGATTTTATTGTTATTACTAACTTGTGGTAGTGAAATCTTGTACATGTGAAACTTTCCAGAAAAAATTATCACCAAAGCATACAAATATTAACACTTTCAACAGATTCCACAAGGTACTGTCCCTTATATTTAAAAAAACATGGCAAATGTTTTACTTTTATGCATAACTCATATATATTTAAACACTGAAAGTTCAGAACAGTGTGAGACTTAGATATCTAATTTTAGCATCACAACTTGTTTTCAGAACTTTCAAAACTGTTTTTCTTTTATTTGTTCAGATTTTTGAGGATCTCTGACACATTCAACAGTCAATTTTAAAACTTTATGAAGACTTTAAAAAGAGTAAGCCTTGAAAACTTTCTCTTTTTGCATACTGGGTACAGATGTTTAGTTAAAAAGATAGGTTAAAAACCTAAGTTCATATATAATAAAAATTCCATATACCACAAGTCAGAGTTTCAATCAAAATATATGCTATTTTGAATAACAGATTTTTTACTCCCCAATCTATATATTATATATTTTCTTTTCATTTATGCCATGAAACCCCTCTCTGAGGAAACCCATGTACTTTTCCTTAAAGCAGACATGCGTGTTTTCCCCAGCTCTTTTGTAACATGGCAACATGTTACATCATATGTGTTTATTCACAGCACTTTATTTGCTCTCATGAAAAATTACTTATGGGAATTGGTTTCTTTTTCGTGGCACCAACAGTCACTTTGGGCACCATTTTATTAAAAACAACAACAAAAAAAGGATGGAAGCGCCATGATGTCACTGCTCAATGAATAGAAACCACATTAGAAAGACTAACGGGAGCGCTGGTTTAGGTTAGGTCAAATTATATGGGCAAGTTCTGCATGTTTTATACCGGTTTGAGTAGTTGTTCTCGATGAGCAAGGATAATTTGTAAGAATAGATATAAACTAAAAAGAAAAAAAAAAAAAAACAAACAAAAAACCCAATAAAAACTGGCCCTTCTGTAACTGTAGTTACATTAGAAGTAATTTAAAGATCGTTCTGCAAGTGTAATGTTTTGGGGTTTTGTTAATATATTGTCATTAAAAGGTTTTAAAATAATAAAAGGTGATAGTCATAATCAGATATATTAGAAATCTTCCCCAGCCTTGGAGCTGGAGCACACACATTTTAGAGCTGCCACATTTCCTTTGCCACTGATGCACCATGACGGCATAACTTACAACTTAACAAACTCATTGTCTGAGAATTTCCTTCGTCTTTCTTTAAACACAATCACAAATGTCTCTTTGTTAACTGTAATATTTTTAGTAGATTTTATGTGACCTAAAATACTACAGAGGTTCTTGGAGAGCTTCTGAGATTCTAATACCTGGAGTCCATTTGGCTTATAATGGTTGCGATGGAAAGTAATTCTTGTCATTTGCAATAACTAGGAAATTTCACTTTTGCACTTCCTCTGCTTCCTTGAATTTATCCTGTTCCAACGCTGAATTTATTCCCACAATTACTACAAATATATGCAAC